CCAACCAACCTAGGACGAGTTTTGATATAATTATTCAAGGTTGCCCGTGTAATTAAATTATTAATTAAATTATCCGCCTTTTATTAAAATTGCCTGTTTTATGTTTTACAATTTACCAGTCTAATTTTGGTACTTAAACATCACATAGTCATCATGTTTATTGATTATTGTCTCAATTCTTGTTTGCCTTACCTCTGCTTCTCAGCATTGTCAGTTTAATTGTAACATAGCCTGGTTTTTATCAACAGAATTTGTGAATTATAATAACTTTATGATATGGACAGCTTATTTTAAAGAAATTTTAATATATTCGAAATGTGTTTTACCCAAAACAACCCTGTTTTTAACGATAATTTGAGTCAATTTATCCAATTGATTATTGAGCCACGCCTCGTGGGATGGAATAAAACTAAAGATATGATCAGTTTCTGTAATAATCAAATGTAAAATGAACTTAACGAAAATGTGAAGTGTGCAAGCTTGGCGTAGGTAAAAATTATTTATTATTCGGAATCGTGAGATGCGGTCTGGTGTGACGCAGGTTTTAGAAAAACAATTTCTTTATCGTGCCAACGTTTCGATCTTTATTGAGATCACCTTCAGGCGTCAAAGTGTTTGTTTTCTGCGTAATTGTACCATTCTTGTCTGTCGTGTTGAGAGTGACACTTAGGCCCCTGAAGATGATCTCAATAAAGATCGAAACGTTGGCACGATAAAGAAAATGTTTTTCTGAAACCTACGTCACACCAGACCGCATCTCACTTATTCCGAATAATCATCTACTAACGGTCACTAATCACCAGACATTATTTATTATAATTAATTAAGGTTTTTTGGGGTGAGATAAAAAAGTCAATGGCACGAGCGGGATTCGAACCCACGATCTTCGGCTAGATACGCCGCTGCTCTACCACTTGAGCTATGGTGACCTCGATCCACTCGGACATCAACTTCCATCTCAACCGCGGAGTTGGTCAAACTGACCACGAAATTAGTGAATTTAATTATTTATTATTATAAATTATTCGATGGTTAGTAAATGTAAGGGGAGAATTACTAATCCTGAGTTTTAAACCGTACAGAGTTTCAGAACGGATAGATTGTTCTTTCTGTAATGTGAACATTAGAAAGACTTTTATCTTCATTTTCCTGAATTACAGGCATACGAATACATTCAAGCAGAATTTACTATTTCAAACACCATTTATAGTTCATGTTTCTTCATAATCACCGGGTTTCATGGCCTAAATGTAATTATTGGATCTTCTTAATAGTATGTTTATTACGAAATATAAAAAATCATTTCTCCAAATCATATCACTTAGGGTTCGAAGCTGCCTCATGATACTGGCACTTTGTAGACGCAGTATGACTATATCATTATTTATTGAAGAGGAAGATAACTTATTCTTTTAGTACATTAGGATATCTGACTTCCAATCAGAAGGACTTTAAAAGAAAGAATAATTTTAATAATCACAGTTACAATAACAACTGCTTTTACTATTTCAATTTTAATAAGAACTATAAAGAATTATAAACCGAAATATCACCATTCGAATGTACGATTTGCTACATCCTTTCCGAATACATATGGTTATTCTTCCGAAGCAGTGTGCTGTCAAGACAGGGCTTTATAAAATTGCTGGATCCAATCGGGGTGCACTGGTGAAGTACACCAGAGCAGCTTGCATTTTTGGAAAACAGAGAGGCAAAATCTGGTTCATGAATTTAATTTTTAAGAAAAACAAAGAAGGGATATATTTTTACATTGTATCACCACTGTAGACCATATTTCATATAAAGTATATATAATGAATTCATGAATGAGCCAACTTGCGTCAAACGGAAGGTTCATGTCGTATCGTTTATTTATGTATTTATTTTAATTTATTCTAAAATGTAATGTAATATTCAATTAACTTTATCTTTATTATTATAATAATATCAAATTAATTTAATATTCGTCTTGATATAACAAAGCTCGGTAACAACTGAATTATTGGCAATATAGGTCATTGTTTATGTGATTATTACTGATGATCAATTCACTGTTTGCTTGTCCTAATGAGTAAACTATAGGCTGTAGGTCTGTTGTACAGCTAAATTGGTTAGTTCGATTAGATTTACTGTATGAAAATTAAAAATTTTCGTGAAAATTGGTTGTTTGGAATTTTCACAGCGATTCTATTAGGGACGTAAAAACTAGGATTGTGAGGTTTTTGTGATCATTGAACAAAATTAAGAGAAAAAGTGGCTTTTCCTTTAGCCCTTGTTCAATATTGTGTAATAATGAGTCATTAATATTATAAAAAACATTAATCGTATAATAATGAAATTATGTGGATGGATCGAAATCATTTATCACTTCGTTCAGTCTACCAACAATTCCAGCTTTTGTACTTTGTTATAAATTACAGACAGGCTGTTAATTACTCAGCCCGGATGTTGGCAGTCCTGGGTCAAACCTGGAACTTATCCCTCCCGCCACAGTGGTTGGGCTGCGGGGTTGCTACCATCAGATAGATTCAGCACTCAATTGGCGGTGGAGTACTCGATATTCTTCCACCACCCTTAACGCCAATTATAAAACGAACCTAATTTAGAGGCAATGGGGCATTCAATATTCCGCCATCGGCCCTCTCACACTACACATTCATCCTTATAAATACATTCTTTCAACACAATGGACACAAAACTATCGTATATGCGAATCTGCATTGGGGACCCAGATATCGACTGAAGCAATCGGGTAGCATTCCTGCGAGCTCTCTTTATAGAGCCAAGGAATTGTACCCCTCAATCATCGAGCAAACTTTCTCTACATGCCCGATACACACGCGGTATTTTGGACAAAAGGGTCTATGTGACAACCTCGCATGGTATATCCTTAATTGTGAGGATGACCATTCTTCTACGAGAAAAACAGGTCTTAATTCTAAATTTGCGTATTTATGACATATATAGCTTATCCTCTTATTCACTAATGACAAGAGAATGACAAGAAGTCGGCATTACGAACAATAACATCAAATTTCAAATTAATTTCGATAAAATTGCGTAAATTTTTTTTTCAGTACAAATCTCGAAAATAAATTATATAGAAAACTAACAAAATTAATCATTTTATTGATGATTCCTACATTTCTTAAGTCATGTCGGTTCTTTTAACCTATGTAAGTACGATGAATATGTTTCTAAACGATTAATAATATTAAATTTTTATTTGGATTATAACTGATATATTACTGGGATATTTGGATAAACGGAAGGCTGGTAGAAAAAAGCATTTAACTACTTTCGAAGCGTGGAAGTTGTCCAAGTAGTCTGCAGGGGCCGATGGACAAAACCGTTTGGAAATATCAAAAGGAACACACACACAAAAAAAAAAAAAAATCAAACGTTCTTCTCCCAATATTTATTTCTAGTCTACGATCGGACCAAAGTACCTTTGAGAGTTCCCAGAAGTATTTAGTATTTAATAATACCACCCTGTGAAGAAAGAGAGAGAGAGAGAAAAATATATCCGGACGGGATATCCAGACTGGCAAATATGCCAGGCGGAGGCTAGGTTTTAGTTTCATACAGTAAAAATAACAAACGTCTGAATTCCGTTCTGCGTTTCGACTCATTAGAAAGTCGGGAGTGGGTTGAACACGGTTGTCTTGTTTATTTATATTAGATTTGGGGTGGTCGGGGACGAGTTAGTGCGTATGGCGTTTGGCCAGAAATATGATGGATGCAAGACGACTAATTAGGGCTCATCAGTGAAATGATGGAACGGCACCGCCCTCACTTCATTTCAATGAGGTTATTTAGAAGCATTTGAAAATGATATATTTACTAAAGAGAAAAAAATGTATTGTCGGAACAAATAATTATTTCTTTGTTCAACGGGAAGAATAACGATCGATTCCATGTGCCAGGATATTAATTTTTTATGGATTACTCACAGTCGGGGAAGGTTTTTTTCTGTTAATGGGTAAACATAATTTTTTTTCCTCTGAAAAAAGGGAAAATAAATAGTAAATGAGACATGTTCCAAAGGGGGGAAGCATCTGGTTTGTTGACTCGGTGTCTCAGCATATGTCGTTTTTATGTGGATGAGGGTCAGATAGGGTATATCTGCGGATGGCAAGCTATCGGATGGGATGGGAGGACTCGAGCTATGAAAAATGTCGCAAGGGTCCTGGAGCTGATCTCAATTTGTCCTGATGGGCGATCGCGGATCTCCCAAGGGGACGTCCGAGAGGAAAGGATCGAAACGACCTCCCGGATTTACATCCATCGTCAAATCACTGTTTTACGATATGGTAGGGGCGTGGAGCTTTATTCAAAAAAGGTCCTTCGAGGATTTGAATAAGAAAGGGCTACGTAAGGTTTTACCGCCTCCTCTGCAATCCAACTTTTACACGTTCTAATTTGCTTTTTGCCGTCTTGACGCGGATCTGAAGGAATCTGAAAAAACTCGAAAGTTTTAATTGGCCGGAAAAGGCGATTAGTAATTCAGCAGTTCCGTCCTCGGGGCGGCATCCGTCAAGAATATTTACTGAGATTTCTTGAATTATGGAGCCATTTACCGATATACATCCAGCCGCCCAGTGAGGGTGTTAAAAATAAAGAAAAAACAGATGTTTTACTCACAGTTTTTCTAATTCGTAAACAAATTTGTCAATTTACTCCAGCGACTAAAAAAACACTGCTGGGCTAGCGTTGATGAATGGAAAAATCCAAATAGACGAGTGGGTGAAGCCACTGTGTATAAATCCTATAAATCAACCTCATCCATTCATATCCGTAGTTATTTCTGGTCGGAGGACAACAAACATTTGGAACCCACAATATCTTCATCATTTTTTATAATTCCAAAAAAAACACATTTTCATAACAACGGGCAAAAATTATAGAATGATATTAATATTGTGTCATGCAAAAAAAAACTTCGCATAAATATTGTTTAAACCTAAATAGATAAATTTATGTAAATAAAAACTGCATAGTTAAAATCACTTATTTATTGTGTTAATTGTACATGGATTGAAAAAGTGCACACGAACGTTCATCTCGGACTGACGGATGAATTAAGAGGTTCTAACGTTTTGTTCTATCAAATTTTCTCGAAACCGATTCTGCCACTGTCTTCAACCTGTCCTACAAAACATGTATAAATTAAAAACCAAAATAGATTTTATTTATATTCATCACAAAGCTGACAGAGAGAAAAATGATTATAAATACCAGCGTGGGAGGGTACATTAATATATATTTGAAAAGAAAACAATCTGAGGACGTCGTGCTAGTATTTAAATAAGAGAAACGGCCAAGGGGAAAAATGCACGAAGGCAATTTGTCTTCGGTTTATTGTGAACTGAAGGGTTAATAGAAAGCGTTCAGGTCGAAAAAGGCTTCAGTAGCAGACTTAGAGTGTAAAGTGTCAAAGTGGAGAAATAGAGCGTAAAAGATTTTTGTATATTTGTATGCCTGCTTCTACCTCTAGGCCAAATTAACCTCTAACTTTCAGTGTTTTCTGGAAATAAACTAAATGTTTAATTGCAATCATCTTTTGTGCGGGAGGCGGTCAAGTTTACGAACAGTGTGCCACACTAGGGTTGGAACCCCTGACCTGTTCGTATTAAGGGAATCACTTTTCTCGATTCCCCGAGGGCGAGGGCTGAAAATGCGAGGGAGGTCAATGGATCAAGAAAAGATTTACCGACGTATCTAAAAATGAAGATAATTCGGTGTCAGTCATAACCCTGCCCTCTAACAGTCCCAGCGGGGTCATTTCGGGCACTCCGAGGGCTTTACGATATAGGGTATTATCGTCCGGTTCCATCCCTATGACGGATCGCTGATGTAAGGAAAAAGAAGACATATTACTTTGAAAATATGTGCGAACGTCATGGAAACGGACTGCGGTGTTAAAAAATAAATCGTATGTTATTAAAACTATGTAATGACCGACCATTTTGCTAGCACGGCTCCATAGAGTAAGTTCCGGCCATCTGGGGGCAACACGGGTTTGATATCTGCTCCAATTTGTAGCAGCAGCCGTTGTTCCCGACGAAGAACGTCTCCGGTGCATAACAGACCATTCTTCCACCATCGGGTCCGCCTACGCCGGGGGATCCGTCAGGTTTGACAAGCGGACCATTCCATCCGGGACCGGCGGTAACCTTGCCTTCTCTTACATTCGGACACATCCTGAAACAAGCGTTGATTAGCACCGATGCTTTAGATCGGTACGTGATGAACTTTACTCTAATGGATTCGGTTCGACCCATTGTTTCTGCTCTTTGGTGAACGGAGGACATGAAGGCCACGGTTCGGTCAAGCACCAGTCCTTTCCTCGACATTCACTCATTTTGCAGTCATCTTGAAGGCCGTTCTTCTTCAGGCAAGCGCATGACATCGTCATCTGCCCACCGATAAGTTCTCTGCTCTTCTGTCTGTGCAAATCCCAAGGTTTGCCGTTCCTTTGCTGAAAGAGAGACCATGAGGATATAAACGTGGAAGTTTTTTGTTTTTTTTTAATAGATAGGTTAAATTATACCTGGAACACTCCGAATTTGTAAGGCCCATTTGTATCCTTTGTTGATGCTGACGTGTCCCATTCGTTGCATTTTGGCCTGAAAAAATTTAACAGATGAGCGAAGACAAAACCTTACATTTCTAAAGTGAAATTAACGTTAATGATTAACATGGAAAAATATTGCACCAAAGTGAAAAATGAAATTTTAGTTTTAATTCCTTACATGCACTCCAAGTTTTGGAGAAGGTTTTTCATCTCGCAGATGATCCTTCTCCTTTGTTGGCTGACATTGTGACATCCTACTTCGTTGTGATGGGACGGGAGGACACCGCTAAAGTAGTTAAGATCGCCGAAGCAGTCCTCGTTCAACTTTTTCTTTCCCATGTTAGTGTCTTGCTTGAGTTCTTGTGGGTTCTAGTGTTTTGTGAGTCTCTTGCAGCTTGTCTCGTGCTTGTGTCTTGTCTCGTGAAATGTTTAATGTCACATGATGCAATTATTTGTCAGGTGGTGCACAAACATATTTTTAATCTATAAATTCAGCGGTTAATTATTTTAAAAGGTTTCTCCGAAGGATTTGTAGTTTGTTTATTCTGACACTAATGACCTGTAAATCAAGTTAGCCCCCTGAAGAAGGGCAACCGTTTCTTCCTATCAATTTCATTTTGACACGTGAAAATTATTCATATTTTCTTTTTCCCATGGGATCGGACTAAATATAATTTCGGGAACTAATTGTTTAATTGGGCATCACACTTCAACGAGACAAGCCTCTATTATATTTTTGAGACGAAATTTCCCCCTCCCCGCCGTGGTATTTTCGAAGAAATAACAGCAATTAAAGGTCGCCTCAGATATACCCGTTTTTTCCTCTAAAGTATATATATTATAAAGGTTTAATAGTCGTTGTAGTCAAATTACAGGGTTTGTACCTTTGTGGGCGATTGTCGGTTTGTGACGTGGGTAAAGCACCCCTTCGTATACACACGGAATAATCGTTCTTGTGTTACCGTTAGCGGGAATAAAAGAGGTAACGAGGGAGAAGATCGCGGATTCCATGGGAACGTGCTCGAGCCTATTGCACATTACTCTCCTTCACGTTCACCCACGAATTTCAACGGCGACAACACCTCGCTTCCTAATTTAAGAAATAAAAAATCCTACAAACTTTATCCATTTTCAGTAATGGACAAACCGAACAGAACGTAACATCCAGTCACAAGTGGACGTTATATCGTCACGAGAACCAACGCTTTTTTTAAATTTTTCTATAGATATACGTCATCATTCTTGGACCAATTTCTGCAAGATAGTTTTTAACGTATCTAGTGCAGTGTTTGGTCATAAATTACATACTTATATTCAGTACTGACATCCTATATTATTATTTTAAATAGCTCTACCTTTTTAACAAAACTAATTAACTAAATAATCTCTTTACGGGAATAGCCAGGTACCCTTAAAATCCAAGATAATGCGGATCTCCCGTCATTAACTTCGCCCTCCCTTCAGGTCAATCGTGTGTCCATTTCCTCGCCGTTGGAGTTATGGTCCAATTCCAGGTCGTTACTCGGATGTTGTTGGTCGGGTCGCCTATGGCCTCTCTCAATCCATATGGCCGCAAGCTATCCCCAGCTATGAACGGAGAGTTATTATGAACAAGGTAGGGATAGGGATAAAAGAGTAGGCCTTGTGCTACAGCACCTCGACCTGAATAAATCTATTGTGCTCCCACGTTATTTATAACTCACTGGACAGCTTCAGGTTAGTAACCAGCCTCCACAACTTTCCCAGCGGCTCCTTGGTGTACGATCTTGCTTGTGGTTTTTCTAGTCCTAGTTGCAAAAACCTGCACCTACATATAACTTCACAGAAACATCAAATGTGTCCTGCCTTCTTCTACTCTTCCTGGCAGGGTCTGCACAGTGTTTCTTCTGTCTGTACTCCTACCCGGTGCATGTGCTTTTTTAAGTAGCAGTGCACTGGCAGGACTCCAACCAGAATCCTGGTTCGGTTGCGGTTGCCTTCCAGTATTCCTTTTGTAAGTTTTGCGGATGGTCTTGGGGTTCATCCCGAAACCCCAGCTCCCGTATCCTTGTCGGTTTTGTAGCCGTCAGATGAACAGGGTAAGGCGCATCTTTGGGAGGAGTTGTATAGCCCCCGCGGCGACAGCTTCCTACCTGAAATGAGCCTTCTGGTATGCCGCCATGAAGGTCTTTTACAATACTCTCTGCACTTCCACTTTCCCGTCCGCCACGCGACTCATAGGCCACTGTCTCCGCGGCCACAACATCTGGCCTGAGCCTGGTTCCGTCGGGTAGGGTTATAGGGGTTTCGGCCTTGTGTTACACCGACCCGCGGAATTCGATGAGGACTTGGAGGTATTCATCATGCCTCCTTATAATTTTATTTCGATTTTCCGGGCAAGTAGTGAGTACATAAGAGAACGATTCCATGCAATCACCACATTTCCTACACTCTGCTGGCACGCTATCGTCCGCTTTGCTCATGGCCTTCCTAGAGAATTCGTCAGCTCCAATTCGCAAGCTCGCTTCAGACAGTTGTTTGCTCACCATATCGCCGCTAAAGATCTTTACTCCAAGGCCGGTAAAGTAAGTAAAGTAAAGCCCCTCATAGAAGAAGGATTAACGTACAACTACCCGTTGGGTGTCACGGACAAGGGGTCGCACCACTTTACAATACTTTCTCCAAATTATTCACAATTAAAAAGCCATGGGCTCTGCAAGGGATTCGACCCCAGGACCCTAGCGAGGAAAATACGAGTCGGATGCTCTAATTACTCGACCACCGCAGTACCCATACCCTGCCTAATCCTTTGTAACGACAAAAGAGATAACTGGTGATCTGTCGATCAAACTTAGGGCAAATTTGTATAAAGGAATTATCATTTATAATGCGATTTTTTAAATATTCTATTGGTTTAGTTAAATATTTTCAACATATTTATGTTTCAATAAAGGATCGTGTCTATGTCTGAGGGATGCCAGTATAAATTGTTCAATACCTTCTCAAGTTGATTCGGTTTTTTTAATTTTAAAGATAATACGGGTATTTTTCTTTTCAATCTTATTCCCCCAAACATTAATATACTATAATTTATCAAGTTTGTAGGGCGATAAGCAAATTTTCCTAGGGTTATAAGACGGTAAGCCCGGTATCATGGGCACTTAACCCCCCCCTCAAAGGTCAGGAATGCACCGTGTGAACTTAATTGACCTTTTGCGTTCACTTCGATTTCTCGTCTTAACCGAAAGCCCCCCCCCTCATTCTTCCCCCTTTTGAATATATTCTCATCACCGCCAATAACGCCGAGAAGGATTAACAGGACCGGTCCTTAACAAAATGGTCGACGCCGCCTGATTCGCACGCCCTTGGCATGAATAATACGACATCGGGAGAATATAAAAAAAAATCTCAAATGAAATAAATTCCGTTCTGTTATCGGGGTGGCTTAATCTGAGAGATTGCTTTGAATATTCATGCAACATTTGAGAGGGTCAAATCGCTCGGAAAAGCCCGTCTATCAGGGTGCAAGGGGCGGATTCTTCTCTTCAGATTCAATAACTATACAACTGCCTAGTAAGTCGTTAAATGAAAACAAAAGTTTTCTGATTTTCGTTCTTCTTAAAAATACATCAATAACTATTGTTGGATTGAGAGGGAGAGGGAGAGAGAGAGAGAGAAAGAGAGAGAAAGAGAGAGAGAGAGGAGAGAGAGTGAGAGAGACCGAGACAGACAGACAGACAAATGGACAGAGATTTTGATAAGACTTGAAAACGAAAAATATGGTTGTTACTCGAATAGGGTAAAGTAGTATTTATTTTTGAAAGACGAACAAAACATAATCCGTCCTTCAAATTTTATCAAAATCACAATCTCTTCTCTCTCTCTCCCTCTCTCTCTCTCCCTCTCTCCCTCCCTCCCTCACTCCAACAAAATCACACACATATAATATCCTGGTTGAACAGAAGTCAATACTCCGGACTTAATTTTCAGATTAATTCAACCTTTCAGTTCTTTATTCCACAATGTCAGCCGTATATCGTAAAATTGTAATCATACTTTAAATTTAATTACACTGATGAAAAGATCGGTGAAAAACTCTGTTGTTCATTTGTTTTCTTTTTTATTGTAACCTTAAGCAAACACAAAATCACTTAGAAGATAAATTTATACAAGTTTCCAAAGATCTAAAGCTTACGTAAAATTTTCTTGGATCTGTAAATACCGACCTTTTCCGTCCTGAAAAGTTGCCCCTACTAATGAACTGTATACATATGTAATTATAAAACTAAATAATAAAAACAGTAAAAGTTTGATTTTTTTGTAACAAACGGTTTATAAAGTGAACAAATAGACTACTATAAAAATGAACAAGAGGAAACAAAAATCTTCAAAATAATAAAATAATAAAAACGATTTCAGTGCTTACATTCTTCAAGAAGGTGAATATTTCGAACATTTAATTAACTTTGTGAAACGTTTTGTTGTTTCTTATGTTAGGGTATTCTTTCTTTCCATTGGTGTTTTAAGATTTACAATAGGATTAACGTATTTGAGAGACTTCATTTGATAAAGTAGTGAAAGGTTGAATTAATCAAAAAAGTAAAATATCTCGAACATAATTGAGAATCAGACTAGAAATGGAGAGATAAAAAAGTCAGTGCCACGAGTGTCCTAGTGGATCGAAGTCACGATAGATCAAGTAGTAGAGCAGCGGTGTATCAAGCCGAAGATCGTGGGTTCGAATCCCGCTTGACACTGACTATTTTATCTCAACTAAAAACTTTAATTAATTGATATTTATCTATTAGTTGTAATATTTTGAATGCATTGAGATTTGTCCTGTACTCATTGGAAAACATCGATAAAAGCCATTTTCCATTTAACACACATAATTAAAATTTTATTCTCATTACTTTCTTGCTAAAAAACTGCAGTTCAGTTCGAACGAAAATGTACGCCGTGAAATGAAATGGCAGAGGCGTTCGAAAAGTTGTGTAACTCACGTTTAATTAACCCTGAGGAAATGTGTGTGGTCTAGGGGTTGACACGGCCCTTTTAAGCACGTTTACACACCAACCCCTTCCTCTACCGGTATGGATTTTAATAAGCAAAATTTCATCCGTCAGTTTCTAATTTAAATTCCGTCTCGTCTTCGAAATTTATTTTAATATTATTTAGGCTTATTTTTAATAAAAGTCCCCCGAGGGCGGAGTGACAGAGTGAGACAGAAAACGTCCAAAGGGGCGAAGGGGGTGATGCACTTATTAATAAGGGGGTTGGGAGAGCCGTTTGCCCCCGTCTGTTGATGCTCATAATTTGCCGGGCCATTAGCCTCCGCTCACCCTGCCGACACCCCTTTCCTGTTATTAGGATATGGATGTTATGTTTTCCGACCCCTCTTCAAGACCCTGGTTTCATGCACTGTTTTACGAAGTCGCTTAAGTGCCACTGAGGGGAAAAAGAGAGAATTTCTCAAGTTTCACAGT